AAAAACCATCAACAAACTTGCCACCATCACACTTCTGCCAGCCTAAACGCTACTGTAGGGCTTTACTTAGTTAAACCACAGCTTCAGATGTAACCATTACACAAGGTCTGCTATGCAGAAGAAATGGATGTGCGTTTTCAGAAGTAACTGAACTACATGCAGGGCTGCACCACTCTTAAATCTTGCAAGAACTTTTAAATGCTTAGTGTTCAAGTGTTACCAAAAGTCTGCATAAAGACTTCTACTAACATGAAATCAAAACGAAATAGGGCATTTCTATTCTGCACACAGTATTCTCTAGAAGGAGCAATGGTAAATCAGAAACAACACTTGATTCAAAGTAGGTAGAGTTTAATAATTTAGACTGCAACAGACTAGTCAACATACCAGGACATAAATTCCTGAAAAAAAAAAATGGGACTGTGCATGACCCATCCTTTAAACACACATCATTACACACACTACTTAGTCACACATTTTCTAGATTGGACAAGAACTGTGGAACAGACAAGATACTAGCATGACAAAAAAATAATTAAGCTTTAGTTAGATTTCTACCTGATTTAAAGCCTCTTGCCATATCTGCAACTATTATAGACATTTGTGACATTCAAATTCCTCAGAGACTCTGCAGTGAAGATAAATTATTAGGTCTATCTAGTCATGCCAATAAGAACTCTGCTGAAAAAAGTCTATTCTTCTTTCAGTGGAATAAATGCTTCTGAATTCCCACCAGAAAAATTTAAACAAAATTGAGAAAAAAAAATAGTAAAAGCCTACAATGTTTAGAATACTAAAAACGTATATAAATTATGAAGCTCATAGCTAACTACTTTCCATCAATGATACATACGTTACCAAGACCAAGAGAAATAAAAACAATGGAAATCCAACATATTCCGTCCCACCTCCCACCCACCCTCTTCTGACTCCATTGCCTTTGTATTCATCTACCCACCCACTGGTCTTTTGCCACAAATGCACAATGAAAACCAAAATATAAGAGCCAAAATAATTCTATGGTAAGTCATCTGTGGTTCTCTCTTTGTATCTACTACTTTTGTACTTTTCCTTGTCTTTATGACTTTTACAAAATAAAATATCACATATCAAAAGAGTTTATGTACAATGAACATACAGCTAATTTTAAAAAACATAGTACAAGTAACTGCAGTTTATAAACCAATCTACAGAAAAGCTAAATTAATAATTACGGCCATCCTCAGTATAGGCATGTCTCTAGTGACAAAATCTTGCCTCGGAATCATCACATTATAAATACATCTACTATTTAGTACCTCAAATAAATTTTCACCTGAAAAATAGTAAGCCTGTGACAAAGGGCAAATGCTTTGCCAGGAATCCAGATTCAGCTAACTCCTGTTCAGATCCCCCTGTTACTACTACAAGGATGTGGGTTTTGGACCACCTTCCTTGCTATGCGTGACTTATTACAAGCTGTATTTTTCACTTCATAATGCCCAGGATCAACAGTTACTACCCTGGCACTGGCACCATTAACCACATATTTTCCAAGTATCTTCTAAAACCACACAAATACACAGTGATTATTAATATTCTACTGCACCATGACATTTTTCTTAGAAAAGTCACGGTGAGAAAGTTTCGCTACTTTGATTTTTGCTTTCCATTTTCTAAGGTAACAGCTCAAAGAGAAAAACAATTATTGTACAAAAAGTTTAAGAAATCTTAGGAGTGTTTTCAATGACTGGTTTAACTAAATCTGCTTATTCCACCTACTCTTCCAGAACTTTATCTTTTTTAGAACCGAGTGCTCACTATCTCACTTCAGTCTCAAAAATGTGTTTGAACAAATCTGTTCTCCATTGAGAGGAAAAAAAATACAATAAAAATCAGCTTAAAATAAATTTATTAAACAATACAAAAATAAGCATGCTGGAAATTGAGATACATAAATAACATACAATGCAAATGAAAAATGGAAAACGAGACAGGTAACTTAACAACTGAGCCAAAAGGTACAACACAAATGCTAAAATAAAATTTTAAAAAGCATTTACATTTCTAATGAAATGTTAATGATGCTGACAAAGAAAAACAAACAAACAGCTAAAATGCTTGAATATCAAGAATTGCTATTACTGTAGCACAGGTGAACACTAAAACCGTTGCAGACCTCAAACATTCAACGACTAGCCTCTATCACCGCATCCTTTCAGACCCGCTCACCAAACATAATGCAGGCATGGGTACGTCGTCATGGCAGACCTCACTACGGTCCCTGCTATCTGTGTCCCCTGCCATGAATAAAAGCCATCTGCAGACACGGCAGGCCAAAACAAGAAACTGTGAGTGCAGACAAGTTACAAAATAATTGGTCCAAAGCAGTCTCCTCCTGACCTCTCCTAACTAGAGGCTGGCTTAAACTCTGAGACAGGCTTCAAAAGCATGTATTACAGAACTGTAATATATATATCTATCTCTCTAAAGTAAAGATTGTGTAAGCTGTACCCTAAATATTCTTATTGTGCATATTAAAGATCTAGTAGTTTCCTTAATTTTGTATTTCCCATGCAGGACTTGCCTCTACCACAAGTTTGTATGTAACTGACAAACATAAACACGGTAAAGATTTTTATTTTCAAGTTGAAACCCAGATGGAACAGTTTTCCATCTTCAACCACGTTTTTAGGATGAGCTTCAAATAGTACTAAAAATCAGGAAAATAATGTGTGTAGAATTACATCAAGCAAATCCTGCATCATACATTTTCCTTCTTTAATTAAATCAGTAATTTAACCAGCAACATGTCATTGCTGTAAATACTTTCCATTAGCAGCACAGACACATTATGTTCCCTCCTGCAATTGAGGGCATTTCAGGTAAAGACGTGTAGTTTTGCAGGACCTGAATACTTGTAATGTCTCTGTAACTACCACTTTACTGTAAAATCCTCAAACAGGTGAGATATTTTTATAATTCAAGACTTTGCCTTTATTTATTTTTCTATATTTTCAAGATGAGCACTGACAAACCTAACCTTACCATCAGTGGTAAGATTATAGAACAGCTATTATTCAGCAATTTATGACTGACATTTATTACTGACATCTGCACCACAGATTTACCTCTTCATCCCAATAGGACTCCAAATTCACTGAAAATTGATGTTGTCTATTGTTGTGCTTAAACATTTTAATCCTAGGCTTCAAAGACAGGAAGCCCATCCTTTTACAATACACTGCTAGATAAAGATTATTCAGGGCTTAGTCAGAGCTTATTTCAAACGTTTATGCAAAACTAACAATACTTAAACAGAGTCATTAACAACAGCTTGCTTTCTCAGAGAGCATGAACTTTGCTTTATACATCTTTCTGAATTCATAAACATCCAGATGGGTCAAAAAAGGGGCAGGAAAAACCTAACTCTCCCCTCATACAAAACTCACATATGAATGCACTTTGCAGTTTTAGATAAATCAAAAAGGGAGAGGGGGCAGGGAGAAGGGGTGGAGGTTTTACTAAGGAATTATGTGTCATGGTCTCTTAAAATCCTCAGTAAGCTAATATCATTTACCATTACTTGGACAAGTTTTCCGCTGTTTTATAAACCAGGATTCTGCATGACATGTACTAGGGGTGGGATATTTCAAATTATCTCCAAACTTATAAAGGGGAAAACTTTATAAAGAATAATCTTCTAAGATTTTTAGCATCATTAAGAATGTAATAGCTACAAGCGTCAAGAATTTAGCAAGTCTGTGCCCTCTGTCCAGCACTGCCTATTGAGCCTATTCAAAGCTTACATACACCATTTCAAGCTACACCCTACTCAAGATACTCAAAATTGGCAAATTATGCAGATGAACAGATGCAGTTGCCTGTAGAAGAACGCAAGTTCTGTTAGTAAGCTGACAGAGGTGCAAACTCACTATCATTTTAAGAAGTAGCAATTAATGATAATTTTTTAAAAATTTGCTCATGGGTAAGTAAACAAAAACTCTAATCTTATATATGAACATGCACACACACTAGCAGTTGAAAAATAAGTTAACTGTAAACAGTTTTAATAATATCTACCTATCTGCTTTACTCTGAATGTATTTCCTGCTTACTGCTCAGTTGGTTACCCCTCTAAACCGAGATTGCTTACATTCCTCTCTAGGGTGGAGCACAGCATGATTAGTAAGGCAGACTTCTGAGTCATAACTACCAGCTGGCAGTACAAGCAGCTGGCAACACACTCAATATAGTTTAGCAAGAAATCTTTCTGCTCCATTAGTTAACTTGCAAGGCAGGGTTTTTCCCCCCCTTCTCCCAGTCCTTCCCAGACATTTTTGCTCTTTTTATTTAAATGTTAGCATTAATAAAGGTCTGATTAAGAAAAAAAAAAATCTTCACTAGCATGGCATATTCAAAGGATCCATTTCTGTTCAAAGCAATTTGAAAGCTCATATTAAAAAAAGAAGGGGATATGGTAACAACATGACTCAGAACCTATCTTCACTTAATATACAATTATTTACAGATTTATTAATTTGCTGTATTTTGCTGACACTATTTTACTTCATATTTTGATTAAAATTCTTCTATCTTTACATGCTGACCCTGATCAGAGGACACATCGTAAGTTCTTGCTTAGCTCTGAAGTTAATTTGCTTACGGTTCTCAGATATAAACAAAAATAAACAGATATACACAAAAGTGGTATATCTTTGAAAACATTCAGATTTACCTTTTTCTTTTTTTCTTTTTTTTTGTAAAGTAAATGTCTTTTAAGTAACTACAAAAATCAGTTAACAGTTTTGGGTTTTGTTGTTTGCATGTGCTCCCCACTCCCACCCCTCCCCACCCCGACCTTTGACAGTCTTTTTGGTATAGCATACAGAATTTACACAAAACATATATATATAAAAAAACGAAACACGAGGCAAACAATATTCAAATCCAAGGTAAATCTAGAGATGCTTGAGGGTTTTTTTTAAATGAAGAATTTAATGAAACTAGAACCCATTCATTTAGTTTTGCTCTCCCCGACCTTCCATTCTATACACTACGGTTCTGGAGATGTCCTCGTTTGATTCGGGTGACACTTTTTTCCATACTGTTTCTTTTAAAGCAAGTTCTTGCTGGAGATTCTCATAGTCCATTGGTCCAAAGGAATGCTAGTTGTTCAAGCAACATACATTATTTATTAGTGTATTTGAAGGAAAAAAAAATCCATACTCGCAGTCAATGCTAACAGACTCAAGTTTTTCACCTCTTCACATAAACTGTTATTTTCCCTTTTCCAGTTATAAAAAATTCCAATTCCAAATTGGGTATTTTTTTAGATGTGTACACGCAAATAGAAGCACTTTCAAAATCATTCTACTATATCTTCTCCTACTGAAATGTTCATGCCTTAGTTAAAACATTAACAGTAATAAAAGCAAAGAGGTTTTCCTTATTTCAAGCAGCCTCATACTTTTATCTTTTGTACAAGTATCTGGAGCGGATTCAGTTCCTTCTCAGACATGGCTTATACCACTTCCTTAGTAACGGGCACTTGTCTACAGCACTATAGTGCCAGAACTCACTGCCTGTGCAACTCTCAGCAAGTCATGTAGTCTCAGATATCACAGTGAAAAAAATGCTTAACATACATCTCATGCATGGCAGCACAGAACAGAAAGGTTAAGCCCACCAGCTGGTCAAATCTTTATTAAAGGCAACCAGTAAAGTAAGACTCTTTGCAACTTTTATCAGATACCATAATACTTAGTCTAGCAAAGGAGATTAACTGCATGAAATGGAGTTACAGATCTAATATGAAATTCTACTACACAAAACTCTGCATAGAGTGGTCCACCCAGGTTAAGTGTCCACTAATAACGTAAACTAACTACTTTACCTGAAAGCTTTGATGCAATACACGTCATACAGAGAAGAACCTTCCACGTTTCTTCTTAGGTCTACAAGGAATACTCACTAAACACATGTATCAACTTACCCGCTGATCGCCACCTTCTCTGCGAGGATCAAGCTTTTTTGCAAAGTGTCTCAAATTATCGTAGTTATGGAAGTTGCACAAAGAAACAAGATCCTGCAAATATTTAGAGAACATACATTATTATTTGCATATGATAGTCAAATGCATATGAGATTATAAGAATACTATCACTTATATTTTACGTCATATCCTAGTACTTAAACCAGTAATAAGAGAAGCTTATTTAATAAATCAATACCAATGTCTGTATGGTCCTTTGAACATAATACGATGATATGATTAACTTCTAGTAACACCTTTAAACTCCTTCTTAAAAGAAGTACAAAACAAGTAGCAATTTGCAAAATATCTATTTTAATATATTTCTACTCCAGCTGTATGAAACATTTCAGGAACAGGAAAAATAGTCTGGGCTAGTCTAGTACATAAAACTTCAAGCAAAAGGATGAAATAAGAAAAATGTGTGACATAAAGGATTTTAATTCAGTTTGAATTACAACACGAAAGGTTATAATTACATAACTTTACTACATTTTTGTATTTTTAAAAGAGAATGTTACATTCATGTTACTTGTATGCCATGATCACCTATCAGTTTTTAGGTCAGGTTTCATTATAACACAGAATAAATGCAGGAAATCCTTCACCTACCTACTGTTCTATGATTTCATATTTAAATTATCAAGACTATTATCAAGACTTCACCATAAGGGTGGTGAGACACTGGAACAGGTTGCCCAGAGAAGCTGTGGATGCCCCATCCCTGGAAGTGTTCAAGGCCAGGTTGGATGGGGCTTTGAGCAGCCTGGTCTAGTGGAAGGTGTCCCTGCCCATGATCATCTTTAAGGTCCCTTCTAACCAAACCATTCTATCATTCTATGATTTCATATGAAACTTCAAACTATTTAAACTAGAATTAACAACTTCTTAGTACTCTTAATTTGCAGCTGTACAGATGTTAGATAAATAGAAGCATGAAAAGTTTTAACTGCTGCTCATCCACATGAACTAAATCCTTGCATACTGTAAATCCCATGCTGTTGTCAATAAGCTAAGCGAAGACTAGTCATAAAAGTGTTTACCCTAGGACTTGAAGTCCATCCAAACTAGTATCACTGCAGCTTAACTACCATCACTATTTAAAAAAGGAGGAGGGGGAAAGGGGGGGAAAAAAAAAAAAAGAGCACCTAGTTATGCCTTCAGCTTCTAAAGCATTACTAATAATCTCACATTTCCTGTGGGGCTCCCTATACCCTACTATTTTCTTTAGTTTTAGGGAGAAAATAAAAAAGGAAGACAACATTTTTTACATTCTCCTTTCCAACAAAACATCTTTATTAATCATTACAAAGTACTCTACAAAATCTCTTCTGCTTCTAATGCTGCTTTCAGCAGACTATCCACAGCCCTTTCAAAAGCAAGAGAGGAAGCGAGGGAGAGCTTCCCCAACAACTGGGTCTGATCTATGAAGACATGTTTTATCTCCAACTGTTTACAAGAATTGGTTTAAAAAAATACATCAGAACAGCAATATTTCAATACAATAAAAGAAAAAGATTGTAATGTAATAAGATTTGCATTTCCAATGTTTTGAAAATTGTTTACTTTATGACTGGAGAGGAAAAGACGACTGTAAATAGAGCTCTACAGCTTCTAATGCAGTGTACAAGACAGCAGCTCTCTCATTACTTCATGAAGTGTTCCTTTTCAAAGCCTTTCCACAATAGATTTCTCCAGTGTTTCTGGCATCATATTTTCTTAATGGTCACTGAATTAAAGTGTTATTTATTACTAAAATGCAAATGCCTCTTCTTGGACTTTCACCCTTAGATCAGATGAAACTTGCTATATATCCCAAGAGTAACAAATCACTATTTAATTCACTTAGGTCTCAGCTATACTAAGTGAAGCTCAGTAAACATCAGCTGCAAAAGGAAAAAACAAACAAACAAACAACTCTCACTAAAGACAATGCTGCTTACATGACAAAAGTGAATTCCTTTAACGCTGTTGCCCATCTTGTCCAAAGGAGGTGACCAGCACATCAAGCCCATGACATTAGGGACAACCAGAAGAATCCCACCAGCAACTCCAGATTTTGCAGGAAGACCAACCTATGGAGTAATTAGTGAATTACTATCCTCTGCAAACATTCTTCACTATTGTAACACAATGCATTAGCATTGTGCTGAAGATTATTATGCGGCATTTATAAAATGTAGATCTGGAAAGCACTTTAAGGTGAGAAAGCATTCCTACTTATCTCTTTTAGACAGACAATAACCTGACGAACAGTTTGTGGCAATCTGAGGTACGCGATCATAAAGTTATTTGCTCTCAGTAACACAGAGTCAGTAATACAGTGAAAAAGATAATTTAAAGCTATTATAAAAAAGCAATTATGACTAAGCAGTAGCACATAAGTGTATCTGTCATCAACAGTTTGCAACAAGGTAGTAGAACAAAGCTATACACAGAAAAAAACCAAACTTGACTGGAAAAGGTAAGAAATAAAAACCCGAAGAAAACAGAATAGTCTGTCCATGAAATCACACAATAACCTACTTATTTACAATCTGGATAAAGGTATTCCTTTTTTCCAATAGGAACTAACATGTCACATATCCTCATAGCCGTGTAAGCAATCACATTTAGATCATGCACAGCATCATAATCAATTTTACTTGTATGCAATAAGGAAAAACTAAAAACGCTCAAAATGAAATGCTGAAAACACAAACAAGATGCAGTATATCTTGAAATATTTATGTATAAGAAACATTCCGCTGGAAAACAGAAGCACGGTACACATGCTGTGTATGGCAACCACTTCTACAACACATGAGGACAATTCATGAGTGAGTTAGTGAAGAAAAAGCAACTGTCTGCAAGGGCTTTGAGCTATACTATACTTCTACATAGCAGGATTGCTTCAGTTATGCTGTTTCCAATTACATCTGCATCATGACCTGTTTCTCTTATGCACAGCCTTTCTTAAGGGACAGTATTTATGTTTTGACATGAAAAGGATTCCAAAATACTAAGTGGCAGAGAACAGTTAAGTGCTATAAGGTATGTTGCACTAGTAGTGCCATGAAACCTAGGTTCGATTTTCCCATATGGTGTGTTCAATTTCTAAACATTTCAAGTAACACCCTCTCTCCTTCCCAAGAAGCAAGCAAGCAAGCCCTGGAACATGGAAATCAATAGCACAGATTAATCTTCCTGGTCAACTATAATTAACATCTGAAAACTACTTACATGGAAGGCAAACTGCCCTGAAAAGTCATACATGCCACAGGAATGCATTAAACTCAAGGTATTCCGGACTGCTTCAGGACTCAGCACTCTTTCACCAGTGATTGGGCAAAAGCCACCATTAGCCAGAGTTGCTGCCATCACACTTGCTGATTCACATGTTACTTCTATTGAGCAAAGCTTATGAAAAAGAAATAGAGATTATAAGAACTGATACTTCTAGCAAAGCAAGGCCAGCTACAGCAGGATCAACAATATGCCTCTACAGAAATAACATCTCACAAAATAACCTACAGCATAACATTCATTACAGATGATGCTAGCAGCATCAATTAATATGGTCTGAATCTTCCTACTGTAAAGATCCCAGCAACACTGTTTGTAAGCCCTCTTAATAGTTTGGGCCAGTATTTTTCATGGGTTAGTGTCTCTGCTTGATTCCTCCCCCCACCCCCCGCCTTATGTTCCTTTGAGAGGAAGAGGTCTGGAAAACCACCTCAGTATTTTGCATCTGCTTAAATGGCAAAGCCACAGAATGACTGGTTTTTTTCAATTTGAGTTTGTTTCATGTGTGGGAGTTTTTTAAGCCTTAGAAGGCCCCCACACATTATTAAAAGTACGTTTTAAAGCTGCAAACTCTAGCACATGCAAGTCTTAATGCCATTTTTTTTGATGCAGCCTTATTTCACCTTTCTCTCATATATATTTTATGATGTCTTAATAATACGACCACACGTTAGTTTCTCCCAGGATCCCTGCTTCAGTACAGACTATACATACTTTGGTGACACATCAGGAAATGTGATATGATGCCATCACCTGATGCTGCCTCATTTCTGCAGAAACCAAAAGATAAGCTGGTTTCAACCTGAAGCTGAAATGCTACTCTGAAAAGTAAACAAACTAGTGCTCTATTCTTGCTTTTGCCAAACAGTCATTACATGATACTTCATGAAGTTACCTAAGCCAAGTTTGCATGAGTTGTTACTACCTGGAATTCTTATTTTCCGGGTGCCAAACTCAATACATCCTAGTCCAATCAACTGGAGTTGCAAATCAAGAGATTGTCAGAGACGCATCTAAAATGGCAACTGTGTTTTAAACATATGAAGTATTACATAGTATCACCTACTTTGAAAAAAAAAAGTGTTTCTAGGTTCCCAGTTTAAGCACCTGCATTTTTGTACCTCAGTTCTCTAAAATGAGAATAATCCATCCTCACTTTACAGACATAATAGGAAAATAAGTTCAGAAAGTTCCCAATTACACAAGGGAGGAAGGAGCATTACAGAAAACCCAAAGAAAAGAAATAACTAGCTTTGTAAGTCAAATCTGAGTCGAGTGTTGGAAAGTAAGCATTGTACAGTAGGAAGAAAAGAAAACAGACTTGCCACTCGTGTACGAACGGCTCTTTTTCTGAGTATGGTGTGAAAAGGGGATTTTGGAGGGCGGAGGGGAGAAAAAAGAATGACATGCAGTCATGAAATTAGACAACATCATGCACAAAAATGAGGCCAAATTAAAATACATCAGAAAAGTCAGTTTGGGCATTTCTTCACTTATGAATAGCTTTGCACTCAGAAGCGTATCAGGACTTGAGGCAGTGGGATAGGAAGCATTTAAAAGCAGGTTTAGACAGTAAATTCAAATTAATATTGTTCTGTAATAACAGAAGTTCAGAGTAGACTATTAGCTTGCACCTAGTTTCCAGCTCAACAAGAGGTCAACTAAGGCTAATCGTGTATACCTTACTCCACAAACAGTCACTTGAGCTAAAGATTAGAGCAGGTGCATCCCAATACAAAAATGTCAGATCAAATTTGCATTAAAAAAATACTGTTTATAATTTGCATAAGTAAGAGCAAGTCTCATGAATCAAAACCGGATTCATTTTGAGAACTAAACTCTGGATTTATTTTTTTTTAAACTATCCCAGATGGACTGAATCAGTAACACAACTTCAACTGCCTCTTGAGAACTATATGCAGAGCTGACTGAGTTGTGAACTTTTTAACATTAGGAAACCCTTATGAGGAAATACCTCACACTTTCCAAGTTCTCATTTTGTGATAGTTGCAAATAACTTGCTGGAAGTGGGAAAAAAAAAAGGGGGGGGGGGGAGGGGAGACTACATATGACTAGATTGTTTTACTCATAACCACTGAATTAAACAAAAAGGAGGACATATTCATATTATTTCATTTACAACACTACCCTTGAGCTTACAACAGAGCATACATATACTATTTCAGTTACACACGGAGTTTAAAGTATTTCACAGTATAATAAAGAGCAGCAACCCAAAGAAGGAAAAATATTTTGTCAAACTCGCTGAAGTCATACAAGACATTTTAACCTTCTAACTACTAGTGTTTTAAAGACTATTGTTAGTTTGCATTAGCAATAAAGACACCCAAGTACATCACCTAAACAAAAGCAAATCTGGATACTTCAAAAGTACATCTTTCATTTCCGGAGTTTAACAGAAGCTGACAAGTTTAACTATAAGCCATTAAAGCCTTCATATCTATGAACAAATCACCTTCTACTGCTTATAATAGAAATTCTATTATGAGTCTCAATTTTAAAGTCAGTTACCTGAAAATAGAAGTCTAGTATAGCAACCATATCCGTGCCTTCAGGAAAGCACTGAGGAAGAAAAATAAAGAGAGTCTTTAAGGTAAAATTATGGGGGGTTTTGTTTGGGTTTTAATATCACTTTTAGAGAGACATAAATTAAGCTATATTCTTGTCAGCATATTAAACATTAGACAAATTTTAAATTAAATATTTATTTAAATGTAACAAGTAGAAATTTTAAATCACATCAGATTTAAAAACAACACAGTGCAGTGAGGTCAATAAGTTAGGTATTATTTTCAGTACAGCTTTCAATTTTAAATCAGTAAACTTCAAAATGCAGGAGTCTTATAAACTCATCTATACAGCACAGACTATACATTTTATGACAACTAAAACAAATTATCATGGTGATGATAAAGTAAAAAGATTACAGGTGTTCTATTAGAATGACTTAAGTATCACACTTTCTAAATGACAGGATTTTTAGTAACATTATGAAAACATATGCAGTGTTAGAATAATTTATGCCATCCTGTACATTAAATAAATTAAAAATCCTCACAGACCATGAAAAACCCCACCACACAGTGGGGTTCAAAATACAACAAACAAAAGAGATCAACCTTTTTTTCTTTCAAGTAATAGCCGATTGCAAAGTTTCTATCTCCACTCTCTCTTTCAGACTGGAACCTTAAGAAGAAAAATAAATTAGGAAAAGACAACACAATAGATCAAATTTTTTAAAAAAAAACACCAAACTTCAGAGATGCATAAAGTCATTCAATAAAACCGCATGTAAAGGATACAGTACTTCTGAACCCAAAATTCTACTAACAGGACAGAAGTTGCCATAGAAGCTCATCCCAGTACACTCAGTTGGAGTGAATTAACTTTGACATCTGAATACACACAGTACTGGTTACCTACATATACATAAGCTGACTTAAAGATAAGGCAGAGAAGTGTAAGATCTTACTCTTGGAAGTGTTTATGAAGAGGCCGTAGTGGAATGAAACATCCCACAATAAGCTGTAGTGAAAGGGTCCTTCACTGACCACACTGATCAAACTAGAGAGGAACCCGAGGACCAAGCTGCAAGTCAGATAATGACCAGAATGATGGCTGCATTGTTTATTGTGATGACTAAGTTAAGGATGAAACCTAAAGGAGGAATGTGTATGATACAAGGGTAGGAAATTCTCTCCTGTCTGGTTCCTTCCATGGTAAACGCTTTTACATCAACAAAGGTCAGGAAAAACACTAGTTATCTCATTCTGCTTCTCTGCACATGCATGCCAACTAGCAACCTGGAAGCAACTCTGCTATATGGAACCTTCAGGATTTTCCCAGGGCTGCCTCAAAAAGCTCTCAAGATTTTTTAAATGCTACACATTGAGTTAATGAGGGGAATTGTTTTAGAAAAAAATTTAAATATGTGAAATGAAAAAGCATAAAGAGTCCCAATTGTATAAAGTATGCTTTCTAAGCATTTGATACACAGCCATCAACATGCCGAGTTTAATTTTCAATATGAATGCCAGGAAGGTAAGAGTTGCGCTTACAGCCCTCACTGCCATAGCACCAACAGAGCAGTAAGAATAACGAAGTTTCAAGGAGGTAACCAACACTTTTATCTGCGATTTAGCCACACTGATGTCAGAGACATGCACAACTTTAGTTGTAAATTTTAAGCTGAAGACACCCTCTAATACTAGGGATGAAATGATTGTTTCAATGTAAATAACTAAACTTTGCCAGAAGCTCCGTATGCCAACTATCAGTTGAGGCATTTTCCACCTAACTTCATTAAGTAAATAAAATATACTTACGTAGCATTACTGAATCCAACATACTCATTACCAGCCATTTTATTCATGAATTGCATCACCTGTTAGAGACAGAGAGGAGGGGGAAAAGCATGCTAACCTTTTCAGATATTAAAAGGTTATAACTGATGAATTTACAATCCAACCTTATGCTAAATCTTGTAACTCAAATATACAAATGCAATCCAAATCACTAAATGTTTAAACAACCACGTACAGATAAAAAGACAAAACATTTGAAATCACTGAAATTCCACTTGCAATTCCCTTGCCATCTTGAGACTTTTACCACTGAATTTAGTTAAAAAAGGAATGTTTTAACATTAACTTACGTAGTCAAATTTTTCTGCATTATTTGCTCCTTGCTGTAAGAAAAGAAAAAATAATTTACAAAAATTGTTAACATAATAAAGAAGTTAGTTCACTTAACAGTATTAGGATTTTTAATGCATATAACTACAGAATGAGGCTAATTAAGGATAAGATACTACAATCATTTCATATTAATGAAAAAATTAAAGTGTTAGATAAGCAAATCTTTAATTATCATTTAAATTAAATAATCCTGAGTCTTATCAAACACCTGTATGTTGGAAATGAATTTAAACTGAAAAAGGTATGCTTTATTTTAAGTGCTCTCTATTCATCTTTATGTGTTTAGCATAAGTAAATGTAGTAGTTAAAGCAAAAAAATACAAAAGTAACTACAATCAGGATAATTACGATGAAAACACTAACTTCTTCTAGATTAGTAACCCAAAGGTATTCTTATATTACCAACAGAGCTGAGCATAGGAAAGTTCAGGCTACTGAAATGAAAATATTTCCATGGCTAGCGCCCATACTAAGAATTTAGACTGAAGACTTAAAATAAAGTGTTACCCCTTACTATGAAAATAATTGCATTTAAATCAAAAATATCTGATTTGATTAGTATCTGATTAGTGTCCCAGCTATTAAAAATTAAACAGAAAACTAGAATTTCACATTATAGAGTACATCATTGTGCTAACAATGTAAGGAAAAAAAATCTAAATCCAACTTAGTAAGGACACTAGTGAAACTTAATTCTTAGGGTTGGTTGGTTTGTTTTTTCAGGGAGGAGGAGGGGTGTCATTTTGGGGCTTTCCCAACCTCCACCCCCCATTTAAGAACATTCTCAAATTTAGTAGCTGCCAGTTAAAGATGTATTAATTCTTTACAGGTCTCTGACAGGTGACCTTTCACAAATTCCTACAGCAAAACATTGAAAGAGGGGTGGGAAGCAAAAAAATAGCACACGGTCTACTGGGGGAGTTTTTAATTTTTCGAAGTAGCCAAGTAGAATTTTTTGAGGAAGTTTAAAAAACAATGGCATTATATACACAAGTGTAAACAATGTATCTGGAGAAGATGTTTTTATAAATAATTTTAGTATTAAAGATATTCTATGTAGGTAACAAAATTCTGTTTAACATACCTCAAACAATTCAAGAAACTACTTGCACTGTGTTTAGTATGGGAATGGGGAAGGAAGGGGAAAAAAAACTGAAGCTTTGTATCAACCAGTATTTTACTTAATGAAATGCATAAAGCCAGCCTCATTTCCCACTCTGTATGTGGATTAGGGTGTTGCAGATAATCTCTGAAGCCCATGCATCAGCTCATCTACAAGAGGATGTGCAGTCACACACGTACGATCACTAGCTGAAAGGAATACCACACTCTTTTGTCAAAATTATACACCAGTGGTCAGCTTATGCTTAAAGGCTAATAACCTTACTCTTAAAGGCAATTATCTCTAGCTAATTTGCAATAAGATAAAAAAAAAATCATGATACATTTCATCAAAATGTTCCTGTATAATATACCAGAACACAAGTCTTAAAAAATTAACTCCAAATCTGTTCAATGAAAAATAATTAAAAGAAGAAATTACCAACTTCATTGAACTGTTGCAGTTGTCAAAATATTCCATAGATCCTAATGCTGTAAAATATGTAACAACATTTAAACCACAAAACCTTTTCAACCTTTCAAATGCACAATGAACATCTTTTTCTGGGAAAGTGGGTCAGCATTAGTTATGGGATGCTGCATTGATAATTGTATGGTTAGACATGTACAATAAATTGAAACAAGTTCTTTTGTTAAAAAAAGAAAGAAGGAGAAAGGGATCATGCTTTCTGCAAAAATATAAATACATAATACTTCACTTTTTTTTGCCCAGTTGAAAAAAAAAAAATCCTAGCCCTTCAACAAAAACTTGGCTTTATTAGCAGCATATAAAATTGGTGGCCAATAGACTCAACACAAACTTTTTCTGTATCAACTTGGTATAAAAAAGGTTTATTTTTAAAATTTACACCTAACCTCGTATTTTGGGAAGAAAATCTTCTGTATGCTAACTCAAATGATGCATTGTTAGTCCTTGATGTTCCACACACTTGTATATGTACAAGTATATCAAACACAAAAGCACTGTTACTGAAATTAGACTCCTTGTATACCTAAAATATTTGCCTAAGTAATCATATGATCAAGACCTCAGTAGGGATTTAACATAATGCGTAACTAAAACAGAAAACTTTGCTTCCATACACATGATGGTTAAAAAATCCCAACATATTAGTTTCCCTCTTTCAGCAGCTGACAGATATGCTGCTCCTCCTAAAAAGCTTAAGAGACACAGAGGCAACACACATTCTATGATCAAAATTCAATTGCAAATATAAAATCCTAACATTCAGAATACGGAGCAAATTTTCCATCACAGTTTAAACAAATATAAAAGACAAGAAATCTTCTGTTCTTGCACAAGTGCTTTTTATTTTTAGCTTGATTGTATAAGCCTATGAGGTTGGGCGCACTGCAACAATATTTCTTAAGCATTTTTAGTTAAGTTCAGATGCAATTCACCTGTCTAGAACATCAAAGGAAACATTCCATGCACTAACTCCACAAACACTTAGTACATTTACTGGAACATATGTTCATATACACACTTACTGTATACATGCTTGTGTGTATATACATATGAAAAAACACTTCTAAATGAATAGAAAATGAAATTGAAAATGTTAAGATTGAAGCAGTTTGATAGGCAGAAAATTCAAACTTGCAGAAGACAGCTCAATCCAATTTTGCAAATGCTTAAAACCACAATGAACACTATGGCTGTCAATCATAAATTTGAATTTTTTGACTGTGTCAGGTTTTCGTGATCTTCCCTTTTTTCTCTTTTTTTTTTTCTTTTAAAAAAAAACAAGGTACTTTTACTATTTGTATTTCTACTAGAAAAATATAAGCAGTTGCATAGGTTGCATGCCTACATGTACATAGCAAAGAAGAGACCCATGGATACTTACCAGAGCTTGCAACAACAAAATTAGACAATATTTATTAGAAAAGAAGTTAGTATTAGTCACTTTTTGTTGATGGACATTCAGTGTTTATATGATTAAACCACATAGGCTCTTAGCATGTGTGTCTCATTAAAATAATTTTTCAATTCTCAATCTAAGCCAAGCTAGTAAAAACATCTGTATCATGAGACATTTATAATCTTCTAATAATAGAAGATTATTGCAAAATTAATTTCTGGAATTTTTTTAAAGCCAAATTTATAACCTAACACTATACTGTGATGAAAACATTGGGGGCGGGGGGAGGCGGGCATAAGAAAATCTTAGCACTATGTCAGAGTGCAAGAAAACACTTTTTTACATTTGTGCATTTTACATTAATTTAACTATTAATGTCTTTATTTTAGTTTTGCGTGCTTACAAACTTAAAATTTTACTGTTATTCTGGGCCTGTTCTGTGAGAACTGGTGTCTTGACTGCTCAGTGTGCCATTTTCATCTCTGAAATACCTGAGAGCACACTCCCATAGACAGTATTTGACCCACTAACACCAATACTATTACTATTTCAAATACATGCAAGAATGATTTTTGTGTCCTTCAGGTATCAAATACTTGCATATTTGACCATTGAACAAGTCATTTCAAACATCACTACTACATATTTATGTCAAATAACATCCAATACATTTGAGTTGTAATAAAAGGCAAGTGCATAGTAACTTGAACATACGTTCTATCCAAAATTAGTTGCTACAAGAAAATTAATAACCCAGCAGAAGAAACTTCACCAAAATAAAGACAAGTATCTGGCAGAGAAGATCACAACGCCAACACATGTTTTAAAGTGGTATGTATATACATTTACACATCAGTCTATCAAGAAAGATAAGTGGAGTGGGTAGCATAAAGCACCTAAGTTAAATCTGTACTATTTATTGTAACTATATTGTAAAATAAACCCAATAAACCATGCATTTTCCCACCCCTCAAGTATTAGACCATAACCATATAATTTCCTAAAATCCTGACAGCAAACAGACCCTTGGCGCAGCTGGACAGGTTTTTCTACCACTCTGTGTCATTTATTTTATGATTTATCAGCATATTTAGAAATCTCTTAAGTATATCGGATACACCTCTATGTTTTATACAAAAAAAGAAAAGCTTCCATTGAATTAAGTTTTTTCAGGGTCAGTAAGATTAACATTTTCATTTTCTTGTACACCAAATTTTCTGCAAGGACTATGAATATTGCTATGCCTCCCAACATGTCTAAATGCTTCCCACGTTGACTCATCACTATAGAATGCATGGTGAGGGGAGATATGCAAGTCTATCATCACTGTCTGCGTACGACTCTGCATGCAGTTGTCAGCACTTAGAGGATTTATATACACTGTATTTGCTCAAACCTTTGCTGTTATACTAGGAAAGCTTTTGTCTACAGATGGAATCTTGAAGCATACAATAAAAATCACTTAAGATTAATCACTTGTCCTCTGGTGACTCCTTCCACAGTCATCTGCCACCTTCTACATATTTCACTCTGAACCCTTTCTCTTCAGCTCATTCGCACCTCTAGCACGCTACCCTCCCCAGTCCGTACAGATACCTGGACGTGGGCAATTGCTGACAAAGCCACTGATATTCCTGCAGTTGACACATTTTGAGAATTGAGTTTAAGGCTTAAGAAAAAACAACAGATCAAAGCATTAAGATCTAACCATACTACAGGCAATAAAGACTTTTCCCAGTCAATGCGATGTACAGAAAGCTGCATGGTTAGAGAGCACTGAATCTGTACTAAATCTGTACAGGAGCTGAATCTTCCTTCTTTCAAGCGCCTGTATTTCCTTGGAGACATGGAAGAACTTACTATTTTATCCAATATCACTTTTCCACAAACTCCTGTAATTGCCACTACAATTTTTCTTTTGATATCAATTATTTGAAAATTGTTATAACTATGTAATTTACATAACCAGTATTAAAGGCAAATGGCTGTACAATTATACAAACAAGGACAAAGGTCCTCAGGGGATTTTTGAAAATTTTGTTTCATTAAAACTGGCCCACAGGATGTCCTTTTGCTAAAGCATTTTTATTGTAGATACATGCTTTAAATTGCTGGAACAGTCTGTGGAGCATAACGCAAGTACAGTTAGAACGGAGCCGTGAGTTAAGGCACCAAAATGTAAATACATCATAGTTCCAAGCACATGACAGCAGCAGAACCATTTAAGCTGGTAAAAGCATGATACAGTCATGCCTAAGTAAGCCAAACAAATGTACAACTTAACATGCACATATGCTTTATTATTTATTATTATTACGAATAGCAAGGACTAAACATTACAGCTTATGTCTATACTCTGTTCCAAGGTGCGTATGCCAAATTCTTAAGGCAGTCATAACTGGGTACGTGATGATAAGAACCCTTTTTTCCCCTAAAATGTTAACATATTACATATTCTGACAAAAAGATTACTCCAAGCATCATCTCTTATCCACAAGTAATAACAATTTGTGTCAGATGCTAAGGGCAGTTGTGTGCAAGGTCATGCGTATTAACAGTTGCTAAATTCAGCACATTGTATGTAAATTTTGACAGATTTGTTATATCAATTTCTCAGAAATAGATAAAATAAGGAATATCAAAGGAGACAAAACCATTGTTAACACTGAAATATCAACATGCCATCATTAGACAAATCTGTCACACATGGTGATTTCAACCATGTTTAAAAATCCCTTAATTTTCTCGGACTCTAGGAGACATACATAGTCTTCAAGATATGCAAGTAACACCTTAAATAAACAGAAAGAACGCAGAGGAACTGAGGGCAAAACATGGGTTAATGAAGTCACCTTTTCCAGAAAAAAAAGTCATTCTTAGATTACATCAAATATAAATGTGAATTACTTAAATCACTGAATAGTTAGCAGGAATATTGTTAAGTTGCAGATTGTAAAGAAGTTATTTCACAAAAAATACAACTATTAAGTAACTTTGTATCTGTGACCCTCTATGTAATTTTCTTCAGAATATGTTTAGTTTGGTTAGTTATTCAAATGATAAATGGTATCTTAGTGGAAGCAGTACATAAAATAATTTACAGTTTAATCACACTGAAAACAAATAATGGAGTGTGATATGTGTCCATCAGACATGCGGTTACTACATGCAAAAATGTTAGTGCAATGCAATACTCTTCATAAGAACATTACAGGAAAAAAAACAAAAAAACAAAAAACACCAAGCAAAAAGCCACCCAGCTAAAACAATGCCCCTACCTTCTAAGAAATATGACAAAAATTGCATGCAGTAAACAACTCCATGTTATCTATTCTGAAGTACACCATTTATCAAGAACTGTGTGCCTTCCACAAGAGGCACATGCTTGTGTTTTGGCTTATGACCAGTAGGGCATGTTGTACTAGGACTAACATTTCAACATTTCAGACAAATGTGTTAAGTCAGATTTTAAAATTCACTATTATCCAAGTGAATTTCAATGCTCAGTCAACCTTTAAAAAATATTAAATGTGAATAAATTTACCTGTCATACTTAAGGCCATTTTCTTTCACCTACAGCTATTAAAGATAAATGTCTTTAAGCAGGAGTTCTTACACCTTCTTTAAATATAAAATAACAGAAAATCACGATCTAAGTAATTTTAAAATCAACAATTTGGAAATAGGAGGTAGGAAACACACTGTAGCTAATGGACTACATAACCAAGAAAAAGGCTGTAAACAAGATTTTTAGACCTTTGAAGTCACAGTATTAAGTATTCTACTTCAAAACTCCAGGGGATCGACATGTTCCCCACAATTCTAAGCAGATACCGTTAGGAAAAAAAAAAAAAAAAGTTTTTTGTACCAGTGGCTATCAAAAAAAGGCAGAAAATACAAGGAAAGTATCTGGCAAACATTGGTACTACATGGAATTTATGCCATTTACAACTTCAAGAGATATATATACAGTTGTTCTAAGGAAAAATACAATACAGTTTTCAAAAAGTCTCAACATCATGGACTAAAGATGTTAAGTCACTATTCAGCTATGGTTTACTCAGCAAAATACGAGTAACTGTTTCCAAACACACTTAAGAAATCACATTTAACATAGCAACAGAAACTATGTAACATGGAAGTTGAACACAATTCAGTTGTACAGTATGTTAATAGCAGATAATTTCAGTATTAAGTCTGATGTGAGACTATAGCTGCATTGCTCCTGTACAAATTACAGTATCTTCCATTTCTTCTGCACAGCCAGAAATACTCTTGTAACTTTATGCTATGTAACAGCATTAGACATTCAGAAACATCTTTCAGAGTGCTATAAAGTATATGCCTGCAGACATACTCTTAGCATTTAACAAGTGAGGCAATTCTCTCAAGAGAATATGAAGTGTTGGACAGTTAAAGAAGGAAACAAAACTAAAAATGCTAAGGTAAAAGAGAGTCTTTCAGTTGCGCTGAAAGTTATTTTGAAAAACTGCTAGTCTAATACTGCATTTGTTTGGAAGTGTTACTATTTCCAAAACATCAGAGCTTGTCTACCTGCTGATGAGTAAACTGCCATCAGATATTGCACATATAAAATGAAAACAGTTCATAATCTGTACAAGATACTTTTTCTACATTCTGTTAAAATACTCTGAGAGAAACTAATAATGAACTTTTTACCTTGATTAAAGACGTGATCACAATTGCTCCAGCATTCACCATAGGGTTATGAGGCCTGTCTGTGAAATAAAGTTTTCAATTACAAATATATCCCAAGACGCATTTGTCAAACAAAACCAGTCAGTGAAAATGAAAGTGAAAAATGATAAATGTTAACATATGATTTAAAGCTATGATCATGGAATATAATCCTAAATTTAAAATACTATAATCTAACACTATACACAATTTTTGGAATTCTGAGCAAAGTATTTTACAGCTTAGAACACACTCAGCCTAATACTACTTAACAGTCCAGTAAATTAATCAGTTTGGCATCATTTCTTTTCTTGAAAATTTTGAATCCTCTAGAGTGTTCCAAGGTTTGATCAATGCAATATTTGCAAGTGAAACAACACCTAAAGGACTTTCCAATTTTTCCTCCAAGTTATCAAGTCTCACTGATTTTAAAAGTGTTCAAACAGGTCCTAAAAAGGAAAAAAGAATTCCAGTTCTTGAATTTCCTTATTGCTGTACATGAATACAAAAATCCCGATTCTTTTTAAGGATCAAGAGGTTTCTGTTGACAGCTTCTGAAATACAAATAACAATTTACTCATCCTCACCAGAATTTAACTTACTTTATAATTGACTTGCATATGCCTGCTACACTTAAGTTCCTCTTTTTATCACTAATCTCCATATTAACAATATTTTTGCATTCCAAGTCATTCTTGGCTGCTCATGTGAATGAATCACCTCTTTTTTTTTTTTTTCCTTCTTTTTCCAAAAAAAAAATCTTTCCTTATCAGCTGTCATACTCTTCCCAAATATAAGTTTTCATTCATCAACACCTACCTCCTACAGTTTTGGTTTTTTTAAAACTAACATTTTTGCTGTGCCTTTTAACCATGATGTTGATTTTTGAGGGTTCTGATGTCTGAAAACCTCCACCAATTCTCAATACATTAATACTGTGACAGGTTTGAAATATTTTTATTTGCTGTTACTTTTTTATCTCCAAATCTGAAAAAATATTCATTTAAAAACATACACAGTGTTCACTACCTTTATATATATTTTATTTATAAATACATAATTCCCATGAAAATTACACTGCTCATGGTGAATGGCACTTAGCCATCTATGACTATCAGATAATCATCTCAGGTTCCTTTTAGTATTTTTCAGAAAGTCAATATTAAAAGGAACTTTTTAAAAAAATCAAGTTATTCTATTAGTGAACAGGTAAGACCAATACCTTCTGTCTGAAAAAGCAAAGCTTCCCTAAAATACAAACTTAATGTCTACATACTATTTTTAAAGTTCTTACCACCATTCCTTATCCCTCTGAAACAGACTCAGGAATTGTTCTGATTTCATCTGGTTGTACTTAAAACCCACCTATATCGACCACCCTGTTCTACTTGTGCCATTAATTCAAGCAACTTGGATCAAATCTATTTGACTTTCCATTAAAACCAGATTCTCAGTAGGAAAAAAGTAGTATTTCCATAGCTTCCTAACTCTGTCTCTCCTTAGGGACTAAAAATCTGTCAAAGATGTTCTAAGTCAAATGACTAACTACACCATCACAGACTGCTGGTCAGAAGGGACATCTGGATGTCATCTCCTCCCCCCTTCCACGCAAAGCAAGGCTATTGCCAAGGCTACATCACGCCAGTCATACCTTTATCTAGCTGAGTCTCGAAAACCTCCAAACATGGCAAATCCTCTCTCTCTCGAGCAACCCTGTTCCTCTTAGAGCCCAAGTTTACCCTAACATCCAATGTGCTCCTCCTAAGCCACACTGTGGGGCCACTGGCCCTTGTTATATCATCTGCCACTACCAAGAACAGTTACACAAAGGGAGCCCCTAACCTCCCCTTTCAGCTGCTCCTTGGGAGTTACGTGCCCTGGACCCGCTGCACTTCGGCAGCCCTCCACTGGAGCCCTCTCCAGTTTTTCAATATTCTCCTTGAACTGGGGATCCCAGCTCTGGACACATAGTCCAACACAACACTGGCCTCATGCATGATCAGAACACACTGTCACTCTCATTTCTTGCTCTATCTATGCTTCTCTTTTTTACAGCTTCCTCTCATCAACATCAGGTATCATTCCAGTCCATAAGCACATTAACGACTCAATCATATACAGCCCATTCTAAAAGTATTTTTATAAATATTTTGCTCTTGATTCTTCTGCACATCTCTATGGTTTCAATCTGCCATACAGTATAAAGCAAAAAGAAAGATTCCCAAACCCCACATCAGATGTGTATTTGAATAAAAAGGCCGTGTAATGTTTATTTAACATTCAGCAACTCAAAAGCTTATCAATGTGGTAAGTCCACGCACACAATATACCCTCAGAAACTCTGTCGCACCTGATTTCCTTGAAGATGTCACCACTTACCTTCAACATCACAAGGTATTCTTGGTTACTTTTTTCTCTACTCTGAAGATTCCTGTGTCTCGCTGCTTAGCATCTCTAATGACATGTACCAGTTCTGGCCACTTTACAACCAACACACCTCCACGTGCTGGCCTCACATGAAGAATGGCAAGAACCTTCTGATTAAATCAAATATGGACTTTCCTGAACATCCTTCTGAAATGAAGTTGTGTTTTGTTCCCCCCTTGACGAGTCAGCAAGGAACAATCATTGTGGGAGCCTTAACAGCAAAGCGGAGGTACAGCAGTCTGGCTTACCACACACTAACAAAAGGTCGTCTTCAAAGGTCTCTCCTACTGCTGCCTTACACCAGCACATCAGAGCTGAGTAGGAGACCTTCCATTAATCCACTGCTGCCTCTCCTAAGCAGACTAAACCCTATCAGGGTATCCAAGTCCCAGGAAAGCAATCTTCACTATTATCTGCATAGCACCAGAAAACACTATCCAAACACTTCCCATAAATAGATATCTATAATTGGCAAATAAACCTTCTATCTTGCCACAACAGCTACAGGCTTCCTATAGAGGTGGTCAATGCTCCAAGCCTGTCAGTGTTCAAGAGGTATTTGGACAATGTCCTTAATAATATGCTTTAACTTCTCCTCAGCCCTGAAGTGGTCAAGCAGTTGAACTAGATGATTGCTGTAGGTCTCTTCCAACTGAAATAGTCTATTCTGTTCTACAGTGAAGAACCTCTCCCCAGACTTAAGATACACTGGCCTTTTCTAAGGGCCAGGATGCCTAAATGAAATCTTACTTTCTGAAAGATTCCTGCTAATTTCAAAGAAGAGGTGTCTTCCACTCCTGTCAATAATACTTCCATTCCCAGGTATTTTTTCACCTCTTAGGGATGTATAGGTTCTGACGCTACATTAATTTTCAAGGAAAGTCATACCTAGGTCTCTCTCTCTAAAGCTGCAGCAACTACTGATTTACCTCACAGTGGGTGCCATCAGCAATGGGATTCCACTTTGTATAACAACAAGGAATGAAGATTGATACTACAATTGTAACAGTTTGCCAGAGGTGAACAAATTCATCTATTGACTTTAGAAAGAGGTATCAAACTCTGCAAAGCTAACTAACACGCATCACTAAAAACCAACACACACACATACACTCTCGATATATAATCAAATAAAGGCAATGACCTGCTCAGACTGAGAAAAAAAAAAAAAAAAACTAAAAAATCTTTTATGCAGCTTCTCTGCAAGTCTCTTATACTGCTGTTATCATCTCATTATAGTTTAGAATAAATTCATGTTTTTATCCTTAATGAAAAGTGCAAGTCATAATAAACCCTTCAACTTTAACTGAGGTACCCTGATTAAGTCTAGCACCGATTCAACAATTTGTCTCTTGCAAAAACAACCCACCTAACAGCCTCTGAATAGTAAATATATTCTTCAACAATACAGTGCTCCGTTTTTCCTGTGGGAAGGAGATACTTGTCTAGAACAACCTTTTATATAGAACACTGCACTATATTTAACATGTATATCTAAATTCAAAACAAAACAAAATATAATTTATGAAGTTACCTAAAAATCTCTCCACTAGACATCACTACTGAATGGTGAAAAATATGTGGGTTTTTTTTTTTTACTACCTCAAACTGCTTGACGATTAGCATAATTGCTCTAGCAACCTGCCATGCAATTACACCATATGCAAACTAGACCTTTCCCCTAATAAGCTCAAATGACAGTGCTTTTCCTCTGCCAGTTCTTCTGACCTTTTCTGTTCATCATTGGCCTTTGGCCTTTCTCACACAAGTGGCTTACAGTCTTTGAGCACAGAAAGCAGAAGTTGCCACACATACACAATATAGACATTTTAATACACAGCACAGCTCATCATGGCAAGTTCTTTCTGAAATGACATCAAAATGTCTTCGTCCAATACAAACTCTTCAAGAAAGAATTCTATCTTTGGTTAACAAAATCCTTCAGCAGAATAAACAATCTCCTGGCAATCCCTCATTCAATTACAATGCGACATTTATTACTGGACTAAGTTCCACAAACAATTATATTACTGGACTAATTCTACAAATAATTACCATCAAGAGAAGGTCACACGTATGGATAAGAGATAACTGTCTGTGTATATATATATTTTTTTTTATACATATATAAAAAAAATAACTGTACATATATACAGGTATTGTCAGACATGTGGCATCATGAACTCAGTAGGCATGAAAAAACCTGCAAACTGCTCGATGACCATAACCAGGAAAATTATTCCCGATGATGCCTATTTCAGACATATTTTACTATGTAAAACTCCTGATCTACTTCAATGAACTAGAATAATCTGTTTTTAATTAACAGGGGAATTGCTTTAGTCCTCCAGAAATCTGAATTGTTCAATGGGCCATATGTTCCCTTTGATAAAAACCGTTTTAAAATTGAATATTCACAAGGCTGCAGAAGTTTCCAAACTTCCATTGCACAGCACTCAAAAACATACGTGATTCTTAGTAACAATTTTTTGTTATAAGTTGGCATTTTTAGCTATTATTTAAAATTATCTTTTAATATTCTCAATTCTTTCCAGCTTGAATCTCAATGCTAGTAAACAGAGAAATGGAAGAACACCCTGTTTTAGGAA